CCTGTAACTGTTTGGCATGATGGTAGGATTGCTGGTTTCTTTTTCTGTCTCATAAACATGCTAGATAACAGGGATATCTTGCTACTCCTACTTACACTTTGGTCACACTTCATAGACACGCACATGCATATATATATACATACATCTAGGTTTTTTCTCCTTTTTCTAAATAGCTCTTGTTCTTCTTTATTTCTTCTATTGTCCATGGGGAAGTGGAAAAGAATCTTTCCTCCGTAAGCCATGCGTGTCGTATGAGGCGACTAAAATGCCGGGAGCAATGGGCTAGTAACCCCTTCTCCTGTAGACATTTACTAAAAAAGAGAAGAAGAAAAACTTTATAAAACTGGGATGCTTGAATGTGCGTGGATGTAGTGCGGATGACAAGAAACAGATGATTGCTGATGTTACGAATGAAAAGAAGTTGGATGTCCTGGCCCTAAGCGAAACAAAGCTGAAGGGGGTAGGGGAGTTTCGGTGGGGGGATGTAAATGGGATTAAATCTGGAGTATCTGAGAGAGTTAGAGCAAAGGAAGGGGTAGCAGTAATATTGAAGGATCAGTTATGGAAGGAGAAAAGAGAATATGAATGTGTAAATTCAAAAATTATGTGGATTAAAGTAAAGGTTGGATGCGAAAAGTGGGTCATAATAAGCGTGTATGCACCTGGAGAAGAGAGGAATGTAGAGGAGAGAGAGAGATTTTGGGAGATGTTAAGTGAATGTATAGGAGCCTTTGAACCAAGTGAGAGAGTAATTGTGATAGGGGACCTGAATGCTAAAGTAGGAGAAACTTTTAGAGAGGATGTGGTAGGTAAGTTTGGGGTGCCAGGTGTAAATGATAATGGGATCCCTTTGATTGAACTTTGTATAGAAAGGGGTTTAGTTGTAGGTAATACATATTTTAAGAAAAAGAGGATAAATAAGTATACAAGATATGATGTAGGGCGAAATGACAGTAGTTTGTTGGATTATGTATTGGTAGATAAAAGACTTTTTGAGTAGACTTCAGTATGTACATGTTTATAGAGGGGCCACAGATATATCAGATCACTTTCTAGTTGTAGCTACACTGAGATTAAAAGGTAGATGGGATACAAGGAGAATAGAAGCATCAGGGAAGAGAGAGGTGAAGGTTTATAAACTAAAAGAGGAGGCAGTTAGGGTAAGATATAAACAGCTATTGGAGGATAGATGGGCTAATGAGAACATAGGCAATGGGGTCGAAGAGGTATGGGTAGGTTTAAAAATGTAGTGTTAGAGTGTTCAGCAGAAGTTTGTGGTTACAGGAAAGTGGGTGCGGGAGGGAAGAGGGGCGATTGGTGGAATGATGATGTAAAGAGAGTAGTAAGGGAGAAAAAGTTAGCATATGAGAAGTTTTTACAAAGTAGAAGTGATGCAAGGAGGGAAGAGTATATGGAGAAAAAGAGAGAGGTTAAGAGAGTGGTGAAGCAATGTAAAAAGAGAGCAAATGAGAGAGTGGGTGAGATGTTATCAACAAATTTTGTTGAAAATAAGAAAAAGTTTTGGAGTGAGATTAACAAGTTAAAGAAGCCTAGAGAACAAATGGATTTGTCAGTTAAAAATAGGAGAGGAGAGTTATTAAATGGAGAGTTAGAGGTATTGGAAAGATGGAGGGAATATTTTGAGGAATTGTTAAATGTTGATGAAGATAGGGAAGCTGTGATTTTGTGTATAGGGCAAGGAGGAATAACATCTTGTAGGAGTGAGGAAGAGCCAGTTGTGAGTGTGGGGGAAGTTCGTGAGGCAGTAGGTAAAATGAAAGGGGGTAAGGCAGCCGGGATTGATGGGATAAAGATAGAAATGTTAAAAGCAGGTGGGGATGTAGTTTTGGAGTGGTTGGTGCAATTATTTAATAAATGTATGGAAGAGGGTAAGGTACCTAGGGATTGGCAGAGAGCATGCATAGTTCCTTTGTATAAAGGCAAAGGGGACAAAAGAGAGTGCAAAAATTATATGGGGATAAGTCTGTTGAGTATACCTGGTAAAGTGTATGGCAGAGTTATTATTGAAAGAATTAAGAGTAAGACGGAGAATAGGATAGCAGATGAACAAGGAGGCTTTAGGAAAGGTAGGGGGTGTGTGGACCAGGTGTTTACAGTGAAACATATAAGTGAACAGTATTTAGATAAGGCTAAAGAGGTCTTTGTGGCATTTATGGATTTGGAAAAGGCATATGACAGTGTGGATAGGGGAGCAATGTGGCAGATGTTGCAGGTGTATGGTGTAGGAGGTAGGTTTCTGAAAGCAGTGAAGAGTTTTTACGAGGATAGTGAGGCTCAAGTTAGAGTATGTAGGAAAGAGGGAAATTATTTCCCAGTAAAAGTAGGCCTTAGACAAGGATGTGTGATGTCACCGTGGTTGTTTAATATATTTATAGGTGGGGTTGTAAGAGAAGTAAATGCGAGGGTCTTGGCAAGAGGCATGGAGTTAAAAGATAAAGAATCACACATAAAGTAGGAGTTGTCACAGTTGCTCTTTGCTGATGACACTGTGCTCTTGGGAGATTCTAAAGAGAAGTTGCAGAGATTGGTGGATGAATTTGGTAGGGTGTGCAAAAGAAGAAAATTAAAAGTGAATACAGGAAAGAGTAAGGTAATGAGGATAACAAAAAGATTAGGTGATGAAAGATTGGATATCAGATTGGAGGGAGAGAGTATGGAGGAGGTGAATGTATTCAGATATTTGGGAGTGGATGTGTCAGCAGATGGGTCTATGAAAGATGAGGTGAATCATAGAATTGATGAGGGGAAAAGGGTGAGTGGTGCACTTAGGAGTCTGTGGAGACAAAGAACTTTGTCCTTGGAGGCAAAGAGGGGAATGTATGAGAGTATAGTTTTTACCAACGCTCTTATATGGGTGTGAAGCATGGGTGATGAATGTTGCAGCAAGGAGAAGGCTGGAGGCAGTGGAGATGTCATGTCTGAGGGCAATGTGTGGTGTGAATATAATGCAGAGAATTCGTAGTTTGGAAGTTAGGAGGAGGTGCGGGATTACCAAAACTGTTGTCCAGAGGGCTGAGGAAGGGTTGTTGAGGTGGTTCGGACATGTAGAGAGAATGGAGCGAAACAGAGTGACTTCAAGAGTGTATCAGTCTGTAGTGGAAGGAAGGCGGGGTAGGGGTCGGCCTAGGAAAGGTTGGAGGGAGAGGGTAAAGGAGGTTTTGTGTGCGAGGGGCTTGGACTTCCAGCAGGCATGCGTGAGCGTGTTTGATAGGAGTGAATGGAGACAAATGGTTTTTAATACTTGACGTGCTGTTGGAGTGTGAGCAAAGTAACATTTATGAAGGGATTCAGGGAAACTGGCAGGCCGGACTTGAGTCCTGGAGATGGGAAGTACAGTGCCTGCACTCTGAAGGAGGGTTGTTAATGTTGCAGTTTAAAAACTGTAGTGTAAAGCACCCTTCTGGCAAGACAGTGATGGAGTGAATGATGGTGAAAGTTTTTCTTTTTTGGGCCACCCTGCCTTGGTGGGAATCGGCCAGTGTGATAATAAATTTTTTTTTTTAAAATACTGAGAGGAATTGACAAGGTCGATAGAGACAGGATATTCCAGAGATGGGACAAGCAACAAGGGGCCACAGTTGGAAGTTGAAGACTCAGATGAATCACAGGGATATTAGGAAGTATTTCTTCAATCACAGAGTTGTCAGGAAATGGAATAGTCTGGGAAGTGATGTAGTGGAGGCAGAATGCATACATAGCTTTAAGGAGAGGTATGATAAAGCTCATGTAGGAGGAAGAGTGACCTAGTAGCACCCAGTGAATAGGCAGGGCCAGGAGCTGAGTCTTGACCCCTGTTATTCAGGAATTGCCTGAATAACAGAGAGCAGAGAGTAGGAGTAAGGGATGAGACATTAAAATGGGGAGAGTAAGAAGAGGAGTTACCCAAGGGTCAGCACTAACACCACTGATGTTTCTAATATGTGAACATCCTACCAGAGGGAATGGAACCCCTAAGTACCACTGTTTGCAGGTGATGTAAAACTATTGAGAAGAATAAGAACAGGAGAGGACAGTGATAAACTCCAGAGAGATCTCTGCAGACCGGAGATATGGCCAAACAAGTACTTTGGCTTCTCTATTTCAACCTGAACAAAAGCAAGGTCATGCTGGTTGAAGAAGGTGTGGGCAGACTAGACAGAGTATAGCATGGGCAGAGAGAAGCTGCCAATATCAGAGTGAAGAGGATTTTGGGGCAAATGTAATTCTAAGCATTTCACTAGAAATACACATTAACCATATAATGTCAGTGGCATATTTTAAAATTATCAAACCTTTCAAACGTCAGTAAAGAAGCCTTCAGAACTTTGTGTACAACACATGTTAGGCCAATCATGGTACCAAGTCCCAGCAAGGAGCTCACACTCGGTTAAGTACCTGAGGAAGCTCAAAAAGGTCCAGAGGTTTGCAACCAGGCGAGTGCCAGAACTGAGAGGAATGTGCTATGAGAAAAGGTTAAGGAAATGAACCTGATAACCTTGGGGGATATAAGGACACAAAGGGGACATGATTAAGGCATACAGAGTCTTAAGGGGAACTAATAGACTGTTTAAATTAAGAGGGCCAGGAATAAGGAATCATAGGTGTAAGCTTAAGATGTAGATGAGCCATTGGAATGTCGGGAGGTATTCCTTTAGTGTCAAGGTAGTTACAAAGTGAAATGACTTGGATGAGGCAGTGGTGGAGGTAAACTCAGTGCACAAATTGCAAAGCAAATGTGAAACTATTTTTAAAGAAGTGGTATTAAATATTGGATTTTATTCTTGTTATGCAGTAACCAAGACAGTCATATTTAACTTTTAACAGATCTTAGAAGAAGTGTGTCTTTCTCATTCTATGTTGATATAACCTATACCATAAGTGAAATAACAGTAATCATCATGAATTAAATTTATGCATAAAAGTAATTTTATTCATATTTCAGAAAGACATAAAAAAAAAAAAAAAAAAAATGTATCAAATGTCATGATTCTCACTTTCAGGCCCAACATTGGTGAGGTTTATATTGCCTACAAATTTGCCCGTGGTCCATACAAGGAATCTGGAACATTATTTACTCAAGTCCATACCCTTCTTCCTGAGTATCGTACCATTGGAGTGTACTATGATGATCCTAAAATGGTAAGAAACTTTTGAGGGTACATTTCTCTTAGTATATATTCCTTATGTCATCTTAACTCTTGTACTGTAATATTTTTATTGTGAAAACATATATTTTATAGTTAAACAGCATTACTTATCCATATTTCTGTGTGAAACTACAAATCATAATGTATTTTCATTATAGAGACAGTCACATAAACTTCGCTACATTGTGGGTGTCATCCTCTCGGAAAATGGCAGCCCCGTGACACCAGAACACCGGAAGTTGTTGGAAGAGAATGGTTATGAGTTTGCTACTTTCCCAGCCATTGATCATGCAGTCCAGACAACCTTCCCATTCAACAGTACAATTTCCATCATTGTGGCTGTTATGAAGGTGTATCCTGCTCTTCGTGAATATGTTGGTTTGTAAACCAGAGGATTTTAACATTTTTTATGCCCCTGCCAGACAGTGACTGGGGCATTTAATATTTGCACTAAATGTTCTAATGGAAGATCAGTACAACAGTAAGTAGATAGACTGCAGCTGCCCCAGTGATATACCTTTCTACAGGACTGTCACGAGTATGATATAGAAACCTGTTACAGTAATAGTTTTACATGATGACTGGATTGGCATATGACAAGTGGTATAATGTACATTGTCAAAAAGTTGGTAAGTAAGACACATGTGCAGCATATGTCTGAAACCTGTTTTGCAGCTTTCATCAGTCATATACAGAAGTGATTTATACATTATGTTACAGCCTTTTTGGAATGGTTTTCAAACAGAGCAAGAATTATCACTTCAGTAGATAAAGAATGCACATAAAAATGCATAAAGGACTTGTGAGTTTAATAGGTTAAAGGAGCTGAGTAATGGTGGTGTGTTGTCTGAACTTGAAGTTCACTGCTGTCTTGTTGCAAGATACAGTGAACCCCTGATTTAATGGACTAATAGGAGGGAGTGTATGCCCGTTAAACCTGAATGAGGCTTTTTTTTTTCCAAGATAGTACCAGAAAGGATAATTCTGGATTTAATGAACTTTGCTGTTAATTACAGAAAAATAATTTACCAAGTAAACCACAACAAAAAGCAGATGATTCTGTATTGAATGGACAAAGTTCTTTAAATCTGAAGTCAGTTTGCCCAGTGGATATAATGTATCTTGTCCATTATTTCAGGATATTAAATGACCACAGATTTTGTACATTAAATCCAAATTACATTAAAACTGGGTCCATTAAATCGAGGTTTTACTGTACAGTGGACCCCCGGTTAACGATATTTTTTCATTCCAGAAGTATGTTTAGGTGCCAGTACTGACCGAATTTGTTCCCATAAGGAATATTGTGAAGTAGATTAGTCCATTTCAGACCCCCAAACATACACATACAAAAGCACTTACATAAATACACTTACATAATTGGTCGCATTGGGAGGTGATCGTTAAGCGGGGGTCCACTGTATTTAATAAGTTCATATGGAAACTTATTCTTGATCATTCTACAGTATATAATTTGGTCTTAAGAAATTGATATATGTTTTTTTAATTTATGATAATAATAATGTTTTTTTGTGTTACATAAAATTAATGTACAACTTTTGAGTTTAGTCAATACTAGATGGGTAACTGCTTCAATATAGCCTCACTGTGTTTAGGGGATATCATATGCCACTATAGTATTTATTGAGTATATCAATGTTGGGAATAGGAAACCAGTGGATTACCTAGGTTTTGTTATCTGAGAGTAGGGCTGCACATGCTATTATGTAATGTTGAGTAATGTTCACCTGATCCATACAGTCATTGAGAATATTTAATACAGCTGTGTTGCTCCCTGCTTATACCTTATTTGGTGGTGGATGTAGAGTTAAGAGTTATGTTGATGCACTTTTGAAAAGATAGCCAGGGAGTGAATGACGGTGAATTAATTTCCTTCTTTGGGTGTCCCTTCCTTGGTGGGAAATGGCTGATGTGTTAAAATATGTATTGTGTATTAAGAAATTTTTATTGCAAGGTAAATTTCTTGTTTTCAGAGCTGCGTAGTTTATGTGCTCATCCATTCCTCGAGGTGTACGATAATCAGAGGTCTGAGATCATCTTTATAGGTCCCCTTGCTCGCCAGGATGACTTCTACGTACCAGAAGTTCAGCAGGAGGAGGAGGAGGAGGAGGATCGACAGGTAACTCTTATCTGTATTTACAGAATATACCTGTTCATTCATTAACTTCAGATGCCTCTGAAGTAATGTATCTTGAATATTTATTGATGTTTAGAAAATTATATTTAGGGTTTATTGAATTTTTCCAGAAGCATCTGTGCTGTACTGTGGTCTGTACATTTATTTAGAATATTAAATACGCAAAAAACCTTGATATAACAGACTAATGAGGGGGATTGTCCGAGCGTCAGTTAAATCAGAATGTCAAAAATTTGAACTACAGGCAGGCTCTGTTTATGCAGCAGATTAAGCTCTGGACTACTGCTGTAAAGTAAAAATTGCTGTAAAGTGAAACAGCATTTTTTCACATTCAAATGCATGTAAAAGCCTGTTAACATGTTTACACTTTGATATATTAGTGAGCAATAGAGTTAGGCCTAAAAAATGTATATACAGTGCACACGTTCCTTGTATTAACCCTTAAACTGTCCAAACATAGATCTACGTTCACGTGCGTAGCGCTCCGAACGTAAATCTACCTTTTTTTTTTACATTTGAAAGCATGTAAAATATAACGTAGCTCTACGTTTGGACAGTTTAAGGGTTACAATATTTTTGTCCTTATCTTATAGTGAGTGATGAACATATTTATTGTGGAAGTCTGAATAAAGGGGGCCGTGGGGCAAAATTCGTAACTCTTTTGTTTACTGTTCGATTTTCTCCAGTTTTGGTGCACAAGACAAAGTGTTTTCACTCTTTCTTGAAAATATTTATCAAAAATATACCTCAAACAATAACTGAGAAAAGACTGATTTACTGAAAATTCCCTTGTGCCTGAAGTCATTCTTATATGGGGCTACGTAAGGTTGTTTGGACACTTGGTGCCGAGAGAACAATGCTAATACTAATTTTGACCGTGTTCTCTCCTCTAAATAACTTATCGTTATTTCACAAAAAAATAAAGTTTGTTAGTTTCTGGAATATTGCAAAAAAATCTGCCCTTTACTCCCACATAACTCCCAAAGTATTTGGAATATTTCCAAAAGAACACGGGGGAAATAAGAGACTTCATTCTTCTACAATTTCTGTGAATATTATTCCATTTAATTAAGTAATAAAGGAAGCACTTTGTACTTTAGGTGAATAAGTTACTTGCGAGATATCGGCTGGGAGCGCCGGCCGGCCCCCGTCTCAAAAAAAAAAAAAAAAATTTCGCGAAAATCACGTTTGTTTGGGTGTATTTCTTAGTAAACTGATGTTCTAGTGCAGTTATCCTCTTCAAAACACCGTTTTCTCTTACTCAGAGACCAAAGAATACGACATGGAGAGGAGTAACTCATTATTTATCGAAATATTCCCGATAATCTCTCGTCATATTATGGCCTATTTTATTCAGTCTAGAGTATATAACATGTTTGTATGTTATTTATAGTGTTTATTATATCATATTAGATCAATTCTGATAGACAAATAAGCCGTAGAGTTGATATATAAGCGTAATAATGAAGAGATTTCTCCTGGCTCTCTGGACTGGGAACACTGCCGAGCGTTCCCATCTGGTTCCTGGTTGTCTCTAAGTCTACGTATAACCTCCGCCTACTCTTATATGATGCCAAATAGTCAATTATTATATTAGAAAGAATAATGCAAGAAAAAGCGATAAAAAACAAGGAAAAAACTCCAAAAAATATACGGGCCGTGAGCAGACTCGCTACCCACATCACCGTCACCATACCTGATATAAATGACTATAATTTCTTGTAGAAACGTCGTAGAACATTCATTCTGGTACCATTGTGTTGCCAAAGAGTTGAGCTATTTTTCGGTATATATAACTCAAGTTCCATAATTTTTTTATTTTTGGGTGAGCGCGCACGGCAATTTGCCCTACAGCCCCCTGAATAAATGAAGACTGCGTATAATTGAAAAAAAAAACTGCATTGGCAAAACATTGTAAAGTGAATCATTGTGAAGTAGGGGCCTACTGTACATAGCACTAGAAAACAACTCCTACTGTAGTATACCTTAATATAGTACTCTACACCCAGTTTCCAGACGTATTGCAATAAACATTAACCCCTTGACTGTCGCAACCCCTAATCCTGAAGTGTCTCCTGGTGTCGCAAAATTTAAAAAAAAAAAATTATTTTTTCTTATGAAATGATAGAGAATCTTTTCGCGATTGTAATGACACCAAAAACACAAAATTTGATGTAAAACTGACGGAATTACGCTCTCGCGAAGTTAGCGACCTCGGCGATATTTACAAATCGGCGATTTCGCCCACTTTGAGCCCTATTTTCGGCTAATTTCATTGTTCCAGTCGACCAAACTCATAGCTATTTCTTTAGAACTCCATTTTTTCTATCGATTGAGTACAAGAAACTGCCCATTTACCGATTTCAACTACCCAATAACGTGGTCAGAAATTTGCAATTTGGCCAATTTCACAAAAATTAAAAAGTATGACAATTTCAAAATAAGGTCCAGAATGAACAATGCAGACATTCCTGGCTCTAAAATGACATTTTCTTCGTTCATCAGTCACGTCTCCAGGCCCCTCTGATATTACTCTTGCTTTCTATTTTGAATTTTTATTCAAACAAAAAATAGAAGATTTACTGTTATGCAGACTACTGCAATACTGTAATAATTGTATAAATAACATCAACCCATTCATGACTGCATATTAGAATGGCTAGTTGGACATTTATTGGACAATGACATCATTTGTTTACTTTTGAACATCGGCAAAAATCAAACATTTCCCATACTTTGAGCTCCATTTCCAGATTCTTTTTATAGTAAAATCAATCAAAATCACCTCTATTTCTATAATATGTTTTCCATTCTATCAAATGAGACCAAGAAAACGAGAATACAATCATAAATACTATACAAAATAGACCACATAGTCAGCATTTTAATTAAAAAAAAGCTGTAGTTTTTTTTTCTCATTATGCACTGCGTGCTCCAGGATTTTTTTATATGGTGCACACTGACCACACAGACCCATTCTCTCATATGTAGGCCTACCAGCTTTCTCCTGCTTGATTTGAAGCCGCTAGAATTTATGAGTATATATACGTCAAACATGGTACCTCGTAAGACGTATATATACGGCCTTGACAGTCAAAGGGTTAAAAATAAAGGATTTAAAACTACAATTTACCCAGTGGATTTTGCCGATAATTTTAAAAGTCCATCATATTGAGGGTTTACTGTGTAATAATTGTGATATCCTTGCATGTCTAGTAAGGTAGCTACTGAAAGACTGGTGATGGTGTTTTCTTTGGGTTGCTCTACCTTGGTGGGAAATTGCTGTTGTGGTAATACAAGCATATTTTTTAAACTATATTGATATTGAAACATTGAGTTAATGGTCTGTCCTGTCCTGCCCTGTTTGCTGTGTCCTGCCCTGTTTGCTGTGTCCTGTCTGCCATGCATTTTCTTTCCTGTCTTGTCCTGTCCTCCCTGCTCTGTCCTGTCCTGTCCTGCCTGCTCTGTCTTGTCCTGTCCTGCCTGCTCTATCCTGTCCTGCCTGCTCTGTCCTGTCCTGTCCTCCCTGCTCTGTCCTGTCCTGCCTGCTCTATCCTGTCCTGCCTGCTCTGTCCTGTCCTGTCCTCCCTGCTCTGTCCTGTCCTGTCCTGCCTGCTCTGTCTTGTCCTGTCCTGCCTGCTCTATCCTGTCCTCCCTGCTCTGTCCTGTCCTGTCCTCCCTGCTCTGTCCTGTCCTGTCTGCTCTGTCCTGTCCTGTCTGCTCTGTCCTGTCCTGTCCTTCCTGCTCTGTCCTGTCTTGTCTCCCCTGCTCTGTCTTGTCCTCCCTGCTCTGTCTTGTCCTCCCTGCTCTGTCTTGTCCTCCCTGCTCTGTCTTGTCCTCCCTGCTCTGTCCTGTCCTCCCTGCTCTGTCCTGTCTTGTCCTGTCCTCCCTGCTCTGTCCTGTCTTGTCCTGTCCTCCCTGCTCTGTCTTGTCATGCCCTGCCTGCTCTGGCTTGTCCTGCCCTGCCTTCTCTAGGCTGTCCTGCCCTACCTGCTCTGGCTTGTCCTGGTCTACCCTGCCTTCTCTGGCCTGCCCAGCCCTGCCTGCTCTGGCCTGTCCAGTCCTGCCTGCTCTGGCCTGTCCAGCTCTGCCTGCTCTGGCCTGTCCAGCCCTACCTGCTCTGACTTGTCCTGCCCTGCCTTCTCTGGCTTGTCCTACCCTGCCTTCTCTGGTCTGGTCTGTCCTGCCCTGCCTTCTCTGATCTGGCCTGTCCTGCCCTGCCTTCTCTGGTCTGGTCTGTCCTGCCCTGCCTTCTCTGGTCTGGCCTGTACTGCCCTGCCTTCTCTGGCCTGTCTTGCCCTGCCCTGCCTGCTCTGGCCTGTCCAGCCCTGCCTGCTCTGGCCTGTCCAGCCCTACCAGCTCTGACTTGTCCTGTCCTGCCTCTGGCTTGGCCTGTCCTGCCCTGCCTTCTCTAGTCTGGTCTGTCCTGCACTGCCTTCTCTGGTCTGGCCTGTCCTGCCCTGCCTTCTCTGGCCTGTCTTGCCCTGCCCTGCCTGCTCTGGCCTGTCCAGCCCTGCCTGCTCTGGCCTGTCCAGCCCTACCAGCTCTGACTTGTCCTGTCCTGCCTCTGGCTTGGCCTGTCCTGCCCTGCCTTCTCTAGTCTGGTCTGTCCTGCACTGCCTTCTCTGGTCTGGCCTGTCCTGCCCTGCCTTCTCTGGCCTGTCTTGCCCTGCCCTGCCTGCTCTGGACTGTCCAGCCCTGCCTGCTCTGGCCTGTCCAGCCCTACCCACTCTGACTTGTCCTGTCCTGCCTTCTCTGGCTTGTCCTGCCCTGCCTTCTCTGGCCTGTCCTGGCCTGCCCTGCTTTATCTGACCTGCTCTGCTCTGCCTTCTCTAGCCTGGCCTGTCCTGCCCTGCCTTCTCTGGCCTGTCCTGCCCTGCCTTCTCTGGGCTGTCCTGCCCTGCCTGTTCTGGCTTGACCTGCCCTGCCTGTTCTGGTTTGGCCTGCCTTGGCTGTTCTGGCTTGACCTGCCCTGCCTACTC